AAACTAAAAATTTGGGATTTTGCACAGGGTTTCAGCAATGTCAAAAATTAAACATTGGGTGCGTTTCAAGATACGGACTAAGATAAATGTATCCTCTAAAAACAGAGGTGGATAATCTCAGGGGCTTACCTGTGCATCCGCCAGCATGACATCCTTCAGCATGGGCTGGCCCTTGGGTTCACCATTTTCCATCCTCACGTAATGCACCTGGTATCCTCTTATCTGGCCATGCTGTTTATTGGGCACAGGTGAGCGCCATGAGACTTTAACAGATGTTGAGTTGACAGCCTCTACCTCGACTTTGCGAGGAGGACCACTAGGAACTGGAACAACATCATCGGATAAAAGAAAATTATAGGCACTTGTCCCACCCAGTCAGCACATTTTCTTTACTTAGGTTTAAAAAAAAAAAAAAATGGGTAGACCCACTACGTTTCCTTTGAGGAATACAAACATTTTCAAACCAATGAAAATGCTCAACCAATCTGCTCTACCTTTTAAGAAAAGATCAAAAAACATGACCGATGCAAAAAAAGAAAAAAAAATGGAAGAAAAAAAGAGTATCAGAGAATAGAAAAAACATGTAAAAATGTACAAAAGCCAAGGAAGATGCTTTGAGATTCAAAGCATTAAAGCACAAAGAGATATAGCATTGAAATAATAACAAAAACAGGTTGTTGATTGTTGTGTGTTCATAAAGGTTTCTTTTTTTTAATATAGCAGAATAAAAAGATGCTTGATTACATGGATTATCTTCTCTTTTTTCTCATGTCAAAGGTATTCCATACAACAGATGCCAAAAATTAAATGCCGAGCATCAGTGTCTCTAAAATATGCACGACAAAAAGGCAACAAGAAGATAAGAAAGCAGTTTCGAAAAGTCAACTTCAAAATGCAAGAAGAAGTGACTACAAAAAGCCACGAAACACAGAGAAGACTTTAGGTGGAGGTACAGAGAAAGGGCTGGATTGCAAGGCCAGAGAAGCAAACTGTTCTTTTAAAAGGAAGCAAAGAACTGTGTTGAGATTGAAAATTAAAAAATGCCCAGGCTGTAGCAAAGACAAGTCTTTGGCAAAAATATTGAAGAAAGAGCGATGCTGGGTAAAAAAAAGTGAGCAGAGAAAAATGGAAAACTGTTAGCCTACTACAAGACAGCAGACCAAGAGTGTGTCAGAGGGTGCAAACTGACGGAGTGGAGGCAACATACCATCTTCATCGGTTCGAATCAACACGGACAAGCTCTCGGGGCCAGGGCCAACATCTGTGTGGGCCGTCACAGTAATCCGGTATTCAGTCCATTTTTCCAGCTGTTCCAAAAGGTACTGGGTAGTGTCCGAAGGAATTCCCAAAATCTCATGAGGCTTGTCATCTTCCCCGTCCACTGCGGTATACTTGATGGAGTATTCCGTGATAATGCCATTCTGTTTTTCCACTGGTGGAGGCTGCCAACTTACCAAAAGGCTAGTGGAACTTGGGCTGGTGCAACTAATATCTTGAGGAGGAGCTGACGGCTCTTATTTTGGTAGTGAGTTAAAGGAGGATTTGAGTGAAAGGACAGGAGTGGTTGGAAAAACAAAATGATAAAACAAAAGAAAAGGCAAAAATAAATAAACGAACAATAAGGGTGACGAAACAAAAAATAAGGCTTCGAAATGTAAAATAAACTCGCACAGATAAATTTGTGAACCTTGGCTTAGTCACATGAATCAACCAAAACAATGAACAAAGGAACCAAAATAAATTGTTAAATAATGGGTGGGGGGAATGTGAGAAAAATGAAACCTGAAGATAATGGAGCCTCAAATAAAATTACCTACCTGTGATTTAGATTCTTCTTCTAAAACAATCTCTCAGTATCTCCCACCCTGTACTATCCTGACTACCCAGCTTCATGAAAGCTGCCAAGAGTGTAAGCTTTAGTACTCAAGAGTCTGATGATGCTTCACACATGTTGGTCCGAGCCGCCACAGCTACATTCTAGAATGGGGACGATTCATATACAGTATTCATTTGTGAAGGAGTTCTTAACTGGAAATTTGCAGTCACTGCAAAGTTCCAATTTAAAAAAAACAAAACAAAACAAAAACAAAGCAATCAAAGCCCCAACAATGGAAGAAGGTTTCACTATGACTATCTGGAAACCTGAGTCTGCCTGACTGGTTTTAATGAGAAGTGTTAACCTCACATTGATCGTAGTCCATACAGTGAGCATGCAGAATCAATAAAGGAGACAAATGCAGAGTCCAAGGTTTACCTACCGAGGGTAATGTCAGGCTTGTTGATTCTGACTGTAACTTGTACTTACCCTACGTCAGCTTTCAGCTGTTTTATTATAACGCTTCTTGAGACACCATTGCTAGTGAAAAATTAGAGCCCACCAGCAAATTGGGGTAAAAATCAATAATAATCATCTGTCCCTTACAAAATGTCAATAACACAGCCATTCAAAGGAAGTGTTTAAAACAATCTAACAATAACAACCAAAAAAAAAACCCTGAGAATCATCTGGAAAGATAGGACATATATGCAAATGTTCTTTGACTTTGTATACAACTATGCATACGCAATAGGGTTTATATATGAGTTAAGCTATACTTCCTTACTGCCCATTTAAAAATAAACTGGTCAACTTTTGAACAATTTCTTCCATACAATTAACTAAAAAAATCATTACTTAAAAAGAAAAAAATTAAAAGGCAATAAAAAGTAATATAGCTAGTATCATAAATTGTTTTTAAAGTTAACAATATATGCTCCTTAAGGGGAACAAACAGGTGATTTATCATGGGAGCCCTGGTGGTACAGTGGTTAAGTGCTCAACTGCTAACCGAAAGGTCGGCGGTACGAACCCACCAGTCGCTCTGCAGGAGATAGATGTGGCAGACTGCTTCCATAAAGATTTAAAGCCTTGAAAACCTTACTGGGCAGTTCTACTCTGTCCTATAGGGTTGCTATGAGTCGTAATCAAATTAACAGTAGTGGGTTTAGTTTGGTGTGTGTGTATGTGCATATATACCTATAAATATACGTAGATGTATACCAATATTTATAAATATATAGTATTTATTTATTTATATAAGGTAACCTATATGGCAGAATGAGTGATGTACCCTTAATTTTTTTTTTTTTAAATTCAAATGTGTAGTTTGGGAATTCCCTTAATAATAAGGAGTGCCAGGTGAATCTGATTATTTAGTGGATTATTAGTCTTTCCTAATTTTCGTGCCTGTGGTCATCATTATAGTGAATTAAAATGAAAAGCTCCCTACACCGACAAGAAGGAAATCCCCATAGGGCGGCCTTGTCAATTTAGAATAAAACTTGAAAAATCACTAGAATACCATTTTTATTGATTCTGACTAGAGGTTCTTATATCTCAAATTATAAAGCTATTTTATATGCATTATCATTTTTTATAAAAAATTGAGTTGTTCATGTTAATAGCAAGGACTCATTTGTAATTCTTTCTAAAAAGCTGATTTCGTTTTCACTTGATTGCTACCCTCAGACCTCCTACTCTGTAGGAATATATTGAACAACATTTAAAACTTTCACTCTGATAAAATAAAGAGCAGATAAGCTTTTGATATAGTTATAAAAAGTCTATTCTATCTGTATGTATAGATTATGTAAAACAGTGAGGTTCGTAAACCATGAAAAATACCATATTGAAACATGTCACATTTATTTTAATTAAATGCCTGATTTTAAGAAATTATCCTCTACAATATTATTTCTTAGCTTGCCTAGGATTCAAAGCAGACATATGGAAATTGCATTAATTTACATGCTTCAATTTTTAAAGGAAAGTAAATTTTATGGGAATAAGCTATAAATCACTAGTAGATTAAGCAATAGAATCCTAATACTTTTCACAGGAATAATGACTTTTTAAGAGAAAGAAATATGAATTTTATCATTACAAAAGCCTGAAACATTTCAAGCTTCTACAGAAGATGATGGTAGACTTGCTTATATGAAAGGAAATTCATCTTATAAAATGATCTAAAATTCACGTCTGTTGATAGGTCCAAAAATTAGGTCAACATAGCATCCTCTTTACAAAACTGAATATATTCGTATTTTACATATCAGCTGCATATGTCACTATGTCAAAAGGCATAAAGTATCACACAATGAAGCCTAAGAAAATAACTCCATAAAACTCGCCAATTCAAAGTAAATTATTATCTAATAGATTAATCATAGGAACTTATTAATAAAGAGCAAACATTAGTATTCTAAGTCACCAAAGTTTCAGTCGAAAATAAACTCCCACATGATACTTTACACAAACCAATCTGCTCTGGGTACAATGAACCCTCGTGATAAACACAACTATGCTTTAGGATAACGGTGCCAAAAAGAAATTGAACCTGGGGAAACAAAATACAATTTAGGATTGCAAATCTCCAGCAAATGCGATTGTGATTAATCCATTATTCCCAAATTTGCCCAAGTACAGATTTTCGGTGAATGTTCCAAATTTCCACATGGACTACTTGCAGAGTTAATAACCAGTCACTAGAACTGGGCTGTTCTCTGAGTAGAACAAATAGGTCTACTGGTTTGTTAGCAGCATTACAATTAGTGTCCTTAAAAAAGACAAAAGTTGTGTCTTTTGCTGCCTCTTTAGTTTGTTAATCTCTCTTCTGATTATCTTGTAGTTTTGTCAACCTGAGCTTTGCTTAACAGCCTTAGAATTCATTAAAGGGGGCCCGATCTAGCTCTTTTCATTTGTTTCTCTCATGGAGGTCTTCTAGCTTCTCTAAAAGTCTTTCAGTTTTGGAAGTGGGAGAACGGGGTCTATTCTTTGGACCAAGTTGGAAACCAACAGTGATCATGGTTAGACTCTAAGCTCCAACACTGGATGCTCATTAGCACAGAGATTACCGACCCAAGCATATAAGCAGGTTTGTTTGCTGAGGAGTGGTGTGTGAAAACTGGCAACAACTTCTAGTGAAAAACAGGGCAAGGAATAAGCAAAGAGAGACACCTACTTGACTGCATGGTTCTAGCAGATATTTCAGCCGTAGAAGCACCTAGTCCTTGAGGAGAGCGTGCAGCCAGACGGAAGTAGTACAAGCTGTTTGGTTTCAGCCCTTGTAGCCGATAAGATGTCCCTGGTTCAATGGTAATTCGTTGCTGTGTGTAAGTAATAAGAGAACTCGGTCATCTTCATTAAGATCCATGCAAAATTTTTTTTTTTTTTATCACACTGTCTGACACATCTGATATCTGACATCAAGGTTACAATGGCATCAAAAGAACCACAAACAGAATCAACAGGGAGTATCAAGGACTCTATTAGGGGAATTATATAATAAAAATATCAGCATTTAAAAGTCAAGTTGTTACAATTAGTAAAGCAACTGGCAAGAGGGAAAAGAGAGATCTTTCTGAGGTTGACACAGCTATCCAAGTGCATCAGGTAAGAGGGAGACTGAGAGGTCAGCTCCCACCAAATGTGTTCTACCCTCAAGGCACGTGCATTGCTGTCAAAGCCTTTTAAGTGAAGCTGACATCTGCCTATGTTCCCGGAGTATGCCCAACATGTGCAATTTCAGTGGCTGAATAGATGTCTAGTTCCTCTCTTATGAGCTTATGCAATCTAAATGTTGCTGTTGTTAGATGCTGTTGAGTCAGTGCCAATTCATAGCAACCCTATGTACAACAGAAGGAAACATTGCCTGATCCCGCATCATCCTCACAATTGTTGCTATATTTGAGCCCGTTAGTACAGTCACTGTCAATCCACCTCGTTGAGAATCTTCTTTTTTGCTAACCTCTACTTGGCCAAACATGAGACTCTACTTTGAGGAGACAGCTCTTCCCCAGTCGGTTTTTGAGTGTCTTCCAACATGAAGAGCTCATCTTTTGGCACTATATTAGACAATGTTCCACTAATATTCATAAGGTTTTCACTGGCCAGTTTTTTCAGAAGTAGACCACCAGGACCTTCTTCCTAGTCTGTCTTAGTCTGGAAGCTCTGCTGAAACCTATTCACCATGGGTGACCCTGCTGGTATTTGAAATATTGGTGGCATAGCTTCCTGCAGCATCACAGCAACACACAAGCCACCACACTACGACAAACTGACAGACAAGTGGTGGGCAATCTAGATAGGAGCAGAAAAATAGGACCGGAACTAGCAACAGTACCTATTGAAGTAAAACCTATGAAAGCCACAACCTGTGTAAGGCAGAAACTGCTCAGAGAAGGAAAATACAAATATTTTCCACTAAATAGAGCGTGGTAGAAAAGCAGTGACGGCACCCTGTCAAAGGCAAAAAACTTGAGAGACCCAGAAAATCAAAGCAGTCCCACTGAGATCCAGTGCTCACAGATTTCCTTGTATACAGTTAACATGAGACTGCTGTAGAAGAGACACAAAACTGCCAAACCGAGGCCAGGATAAAAGTCATACGTAACTCACGAAAGCTGAGTAATTTACAAGAAACCATGTCATTACTCTAGATTTAGTTATATTAATTTTAAAACTTCCTTTCTTCCCTTCTGAATATAGAAACCACAGCTAGGGGAAAAAAAAATCACAATCCTTTCTATAACTTTTAACGCCACAATGGGCATTTGAAAGAAAATTTCTTTAATCAAATGTTGTCACTCTTACTTTAAATGCTTGAAATTTACCTTTGCATTTTAGCAAAAATATGGCTGATTGAACAATAGCCTGTAGTAAACCTTAAAAGCCAAGCTCATATGTAATCTAGTAAAAGCATAAATAATCTTAAGGCTTTTTTTTTTTTTTTTAAATCAAATAGTACATGCTATTCACACAAATGGAAATTAGTCAAGCGGAATTCAAATATAAAACTAGATAAAACATCCCTAGAGTGTTCTAGCTTGCAAATACAAAAGCTTTCAGAAATTTTAGATTTACCAAACCAACAGGAAAAAAAACAGAGATCCCTAAATAAGCAATCGTAAAACCAACATCTGTATGCTGAGCAAATAATCCCAGATGCTGGACTATATGAAGAAGAACTAGGTATCAGGATTGGAGGAAGACTCATTAACAACCTGCAATATGCAGATGACACAACCTTGCTTGCTGAAAGAGAAGAGGACTCGAAGATTTACTGATAAAGACCAAAGACTATAGCCTTCAGTATGGATTACACCTCAATATAAAAGAAAACAAAAATGATCACAACTGGACCAAAAAGCAACATCATGATAAATGGAGAAAACATTGACTTTGTCAAGGGTTTCACTTTACTTGGATCCATAATCAATGCCCATGGAAGCAGCAGTCAAGAAATCGAACGATGTATTACATTGGGCAAATCTGCTGCAAAAGACCTCCTTAAAGTGTTAAAAAGCAAAGATGTCACTTTAGGGACTAAGGCACACCTGACTCAAGCCACGGTATTTTCAATTGCCTCTTATGCGTGCAAAAGCTGGACAACTGAAGGAGAACTGCGTTGGTGAAGAATATGAACTGCCAGAAGAATGAACAAGTCTATCTGAGAAGAAGTACAGCTAGAGTGCTTCTTGGAAATAAGGATGGCGAGACTTCTTCTCAAGTACTTTGAACACGTTATCAGGAGGGACCAGTCCCAGGAGAAGGACATTATGCTTGGTAAAGTAGAGGGCCAGCGAAAAAGAGGAAGGCTATCAAGGAGATAGACTGACACAGTAGACTCAAACATAGCAACGATTGTGAGGATGGCACAGGACCAGGCAGTGTTTCGTTCTGTTGTACATAGGGTTGCTATGACTCAACAGCACCTAACAACAAAGCCAACATTCAAGCATCTATAGCTTGCCCTTCTCCCATAGGACTATCTTTTTGCTTTATTATTCTTTTGATACATATATAGATATATATATTTAATCTAGTTTTTTATTTTTATTTATTTTAGTGGTAGTAAGGATTTAAATCAGTCACTGAAAATCCTGTGGAACACAGTTCTACTGTGACACACATGGAGTCACCAGAAGTTGGAATCGACTTGACAGCAACCGTCAAGTTGTGAACATGAACACTTTAAGTTATATCTGTATTTCAATTATATAACTGAGTGTTTAATTTATATTGGCATTGATAGATAAATCTAAAAGCATTGCATTTAAAACTTGTTCTTTGCAGATTCTGCTTAATTCAGACAGATCGTAATAAAACAGAAGTTTACAAGAACATATTAATTTATTATAGCATTCACAACTATGCACTAGAAGTTAATTCCTAACAGTTCAATTAGTATGTGAGTTTTTTAAAAGGCATTCCTTGTGAGAATGCAGAGGCTATCTATCTGTGTACAAATCTTTTTTTAAGGTAAAGAATGCTAAGTTGTTTTTGTTAGTTGCGCGTTGCCCTTGTGGCCATTCCAGTGCATGGCAACCCCATGTATGCTTCATACGGTTTCAAGGCTGTGACCTTTAGGAAACAGATCACCAGGCCTGTCTTCCAAGGTGCCTCTGGGTGGGTTTGAACTGCCAAACTTCCAGCTAGTAGTCAAGTGCTTAATCATTTGCACCACCCAGGGACTCCAAAAGAATGTTAAGAGGTACAGTAAAATGACTTGTGTGGACTGAGTTTTCACATATAGTTTCACAAACTTTTTTGTCCTGATGTTCTCCCACTGGATTTCACAATAATTAAAGGAATACATCCATTACTATTAAATATTCTTATCCTGAAAATGTTGGATGGATGTTTACACCAATTTCTACAATCTATTCAAAACACACTCTAGACACAGTGTACCCTAATGGTTAAGAACACAGATTCTGACTGCCTAGATTCAAATCCCAGCTCTACCATACAGTAGTGTAAGACTATGAGACCTTGGAGAAATCATGAAACTCTTCTCTGTGCATCCATTTTGTTATACGTGAAATGGATTGAAAACAGTGGCGAATGGTGTTGTTGTGAGGATTAAGGAGTTAATATATGTAAAACTGATAATTTCCGCATTCAGTTGGATCACATTTCTTGGGAATAGGCATAAATACGGATCTATTCCAGTCGGTGGGCCAGGTAGCTGTCTTCCAAATTTCTTGGCATAGAAATTGGTATTCCGTCAATTCCCGGAGCCTTGTTTTTTGCTAATGCCTTCAGTGCAGCTTGGACTTCTTCCTTTAGTACCATCGGTTCCTGATCATATGCTACCTCCTGAAATGGCTGAATGTCAGCCAATTCACTTTGGTACGATGACTCTGTGTAATCCTTCCATTTTCTTTTGATGCTTCTTGCATCGTTTAATATTTTCCCCATAGAATCCTTCAATACTGCAACTCGAGGTTTGAATTTTTTCTTCAGTTCTTTCAGCTTGAGAAATGCCTAGTATTTTCTTCCCTTTGGATTTTCTATCTCCAGGTCTTTGCACATGTCATTATAATACTTTGCCTTCTTGAGCTGCCCTTTGAAATCTTGTATTCAGCTCTTTCACTTCATCATTTCTTCCTTTTGCTTTAGCTACTCGATGTTCAAAAGCAAGTTTCAGAGTCTCTTCTGACATCCATTTTGGTCTTTTCTTTCTTTCCTGTCTTTTTAATGACCTCTTGCTTCCCTCATATATGATGTCCTTGATGTTATTCCACAACTCATCTGGTCTTCAGTCATTTGCGTTCAGCGCGGCAAATCTATTCTTGAGATAGTCTCTAAATTCAGGTGGGATATGCTCAAGGTCGTACTTTGGCTCTCGAGAACTTGTTCTAGTTTCTTCAGCTTCATCTTGAACTTACATAGGAGCAATTGATGGTTTGTTCCACAGTCGGACCCTGGCCTTGTTCTAACTGATGATATTGAGCTTTTCCATCATCTCTTTCCACAGATGTAGTTGATCTGATTCCTGTGTACTCCATCTGGCAAGGTCCATGTCTATAGTCACAATCAACACCCATGGAAGCAGCAGTCAGGAAATCAAAAGACGAATTGCATTGTGCAAATCTGCTGCAGAAGACCTCTTTAAAGTGTTAAAAAGCGAAGATGTCACCTTGAAGACTAAGGTGCGCCTGACCCAAGCCATGGTGTTTTCAATCATCCCACACGCATGCAAAAGCTGGACAATGAATAAGGAAGACCAAAGAAGAACTGATGCCTTTGATTTGTGGTTTTGGTGAAGAATACTGGATATACCATTGACTGCCAAAAGAACAAACAAATCTGTCTTGGAAGAAGTACAACTAGAATGCTCCTTAGAAGCAAGGATGGTGAGACTATGTCTCACATACTTTGGATATGTTATCAGGAGGGATCAGTCCCTGGAGAAGGTAAAGTAGAGGGCTAGTGAAAAAGAGGAAAACCCTCAACAAGATATATTGACATAGGGGCTGGCTGCAACAATGGGCTCAAGCATAACAACGATTGTGAGGATGGCGCAGGACCGGGCAGTGTTTCGTTCAGTTGTACATAGGGTAGCTATGAGTGGGTACCGACTCCACAGCACCTAACAACAACAACGTATGTAAAACACTTAAAACAGTGCCTGGTAATGTATGTGTGTTAGCTATGTTAAAAATTTTTGTTTCTCTTTCCATAAATTATCAATAATTTCCACACCTCCTATAATCTACTGTTATTTATTTGAATATCATACTCATACTCAATTGTGGGTATAAAGTCCACTTTTCTCACATTCATATCAAATAGTTTTAGCATACAAATAAGTATTTGCCCTGGGGCCTCTTTCTCTGAAACTAGTATGGACAAATTCATCTAGCCAAGGCCTTTTATTAGCATACAGAGCTCATTTGCCATGTGCCTATGTGGTGACTTAAGTACTTTATTAATGCAGATAAGTAATAAAGGAAGTCTCTAAGCCTCTTGGGGTTTTCTATTCTTCTACAACCTGATGTTTCTATGAAACTGAATATAAAGGAGTTCCAGAAGGGGTAATAGTTGTTTTCTGTTTTTTATGTTTCCCCCTAAAAGCTCCAAATAATCATTCTGGGTTTTTTTGGTCACGTTCCTATTTTGATGAACAAATCTTTTTCACCAGTGTCCTCTGTAGGTAGCTGACCTTTTAACAGAACTATGTAAATATAGAGAAGTAGAGTAGTGTCCCTAAGAAGCCCTGGTGACACAGTGTTTAAGCGCTTGGCTATTAACTGAAAGGTTCAAATCAACTCAGCAGCTCTTCAGGAGAAAGACTTGGCAATCTGATCCCATAAAGATTAAAGCCTGTAAAACCCTATGGGGCAGTTCTACTCTGTCATATGGGGTTGCTATGAGTCAAAATTGACTCGATGGCACCCAACAACAACATCAACAATAATAGGGTAGTGTCTCAGGACAGCAAGTGGTTGTGAAGGTGAGAAGCAGTCTTACCTCCTCTCCATGCTCCCCATCTTTGTATACCAGCTCATAGTTGGCAATGGTGTCTGAACGCGGAGGTGTCCAAGAAAGCAAAATGCTTGTTTCAGACTCAGGTTCTGCTCTGAAGTTCAGTGGCTGCCCTGGTACTGAAAACAGGGAGGCAAAGGATTGAACTCACTCACACCAGGCATGTTCATAAATTCTTCCATGAGCGCAAAAATGTGTCCACATACGTCAGCTAACTGACAGCTAGGTACCTTATGCTGTCCACATTAACAGTATAAAGCTCATGTCCCTCCTTCAAGGGGCAAGAACAATATTATGAATACTGTCCTTGTCCTTGAGTAGCTTGCCACCTGTACAATATAACACAGAGTTATCAGGTATAGTGTGTATCAGTCTCTGAATTCCATTTTCAGGATAATAAAATTATTTACTTCATAATGCTGTTGTGAGGAATAAATGAGATGGCTTATATAACGTACTTGGAATGCTGCCTAAAACATAACAAGTGCTAAATAAATATAAACTCTTGTTATTTTATAACTGGATGGGAACTTTAGCACTGCATGCAACTTTCAAAATTATTTCCGATTGTGTTTACATATTTCTGCCTTCACTCCATGAAAAAAACCTACAGGCAACCAGAATCATCTAGCATTTTTTCTTACCAACTCACATCTTGAAAAAGAAGTGGAAACAAACTATCATTTATAATTACTTTTAAATCCTAAATGACCTTAAATTACTTAATATACTAGACTTATCAAAATATAATACTGTTCCTAGTAGAACAGAGGTAAATACTACACAAATTAAAATGTTTATAAAATGTACTTATTATTAGAAATACGGTTAACTTATAATAGAGGTCATCAACAATTCTCATTCCTATTGGTCCCTTACCTATACAGTAGACAATCTGGAAGAGTTATCTATGAGATATAGTAAATAATGGGAAGTCTATCCATGCGAACACGCCTTACTCAAATGCTGCACTAGAATAACTTCGACTAACCCAAAATTCTAATCAATAACTAACCTCTTAGTTGTCCTTTATCCATTATACACAAGGCTGATGTTGGCATGGCTACCATTACATTGCTCCTGGACAATGTTTACCTGGTGGTTGGTGTCCATGACTTTCCGGCTGTTAAATATGATCATGACCCCTGACATTATGGCTGGCATGTCTCAATGTGCTTTGTCTGAACATCCATCCATAATTCCAGAAGTTAACATGAGACTCTCACGTATATTAATAAAAAAACTAGAACAATACTTCACACCAGAGGGGGAGGAACATCTCAAGTGTGCTTATGGCAACTTGCACGTGAACATTCAAAAACACATATAAAACAATGTAAATTATCGATGATGTAGGACATCTTAATTTTATTAATCTTATTAATTCTTGAAGCATCATTTTCAAAGGAAAGGAGGCCTTTCAGAATATAAAAAGTGTTTTTTTTTTCTCCTTTTATAGTCTGTCATATGACGTTAAAAAAATGCCTTTTGTTTAAAGATAGATGAAAAGTCTACTGGAGTTTGCGAGAAGGGTTTCTAGGATCCCTAGTGATCATTTATTCTTCTATTTGGTTTGTCAACCTGTGTGTCTAGATGTATATCTGTGTTTATATCTGTGTCTATGTCAGTCTGTATTTGTGTGTGTGTCTCTGTGTGTAAGTGTGCATATAAGCGTATACACTCACGTTCGTACTGGTGCTTAATGCTACCTATAATCAGTGCTCTTATTTCTTGTTTCCTTCATCATCTTTTCTCTCTCTTTCCTTTTTTATCACAGGTCTTGAGATTCTCATTAATTTAATGCCCCCAGGAACAGAGTCTCTGAGCAGGCTATTTTTTTTTTAAGTACCTGCCCAGTAGGGGATCTAACACAATCATTCAGATTGAGAGGTGGAGACAAAAGAAGATAAAAGAGCAAGGAGCAAGAGGAGGAGGAACTGAGGGAAAAAACAAACAAACAGGCAAATAGCAAAACAAATGGAAAATACATTACTTCTAAAAGGGAAATACCAAAAGCACAGGCAGGAAGGAGTATCAAATGGAAGTTGAGAATGATCAGACAGATGGCGAAATTATGACTGGGTTCTAATGTTCAGATGATGAAAGGGCTTCTCAGCCTAAAAATGTACAGCACATGCATATGTATACAGTGACTTCCTTTTCTCTAGTTTAATTCCCTTCTGTTTCTGCCCCATTTCCAGAAGTCTGGGAAAGTGAGAATTCCTGACTCGAACCAAACTTGAATGCAGTGTCAAGAAGTAAAAGCGTGGACACTGTTGAAGGGCGGCTCTCAGGATAATGATTACTTGTTACTTATTTCCTCTCTGCCTAATGCTAGTGACAAATTAAGTGACATTGACTGAAAACATCTTGGAAACCTAATTAACTTCTTCTTACTTAGATTGTTTACTTTTTGCTTTTAATTTGTCTTGAACTAATTCCCAGTGTCTCATTCTTGTGTAGTGCCATCAGCTTCATCAGATCTTCTCATTCTGTTTGGGTCTATTAAGAGTCCTCTCCCTCTACGTGAAGGCCCTCGGTGGTGCAAAGGGTTAAGCGCTTGATTACTAACCACAAGGTTGGTGGTTCGAACCCACCCAAAGGCACCTTGAGAAAAAGTCCTGGAGATCTGCTTCCAAAAGGTCACAGCAATGAAAACACTATGGAGCACAGTTCTACTCTGACACACAAGGTCACCTTGAGTTGGAATCAACTCAATGGCAACTGGTCAGCACCCTCAAAATTATGAATTAAAGTGGCACATCAAAGTGTCTGAGCATACAGTGTCCTTTTTACTCCTGGACAAAGGAAGTGGTGGCTAGACAAGTTGATGGTAAGTCTCCTCAGCTAAAATACACAGAGGGATTCCATTTCTCTGCTTCCACAGGTACGTTCTTCTGAAGTGGTTTGAAGGGTAATGTCATTGACTACAGGTGAAATTTGTGGTGGAAACACAAATGCCCAGGGGTGTTAGGCAGAGAGCTTAGAGGAGTGAGGTGGACCATGTGGGCCTAGGGCCATCTGAATGAGAGGTCCGTGGTCCCCGTCAGCCGATTTTGGCCTCGCAGAAATGAAGGCCCAGTCTTGCAAGAGCTTCTGACTTTTCAATAGAAGTTGATAATCAATCTTCTATGTAAAACAGTTCCATCTTGAATAACTGGAAATTGGTTTTTGTTTTTTTTTTTAACTGTATGAACTAAAAGGTCTCTACAGACTAAAATCAGTATACGGGCCAGTGGTTTAGATTATATTTTTATTATAGCAGGCTCTCCACTCTCAGAGCTCAGTCAACACCTACGGGTGCTGCTACTTAGACTTTCTTGGAACTGAGGGTTCACCTACAAGATATCACCTCCTTGGGTTGTTTTGTCATTTTTGACGTAACTACATATGAAGCAGATGATTCAAAGGAGAGGGGAAAAAAAGAAGCTGCAAAATGTATGGATTTATCTTTAAATTCCCCAAAAATATTCTTCCTAATGACCATAAGGCATTTGTATAAGAAAAGACATCAGGACATTCCAGACTTTCATCTTTGTTTTCTCCTTATCACTCAGAGACACAGGGAGTACTTCATCATTTGTTCATTGGCTTTTTATGCCACGTATTATAGCTAGAAGGAGCCCTGGTGGCACCAGAGTTAAGCGCTCGGCTGCTAACCGAAAGGTCGGTGGTTTCAATCCACCAGCCTATCCTTGGGAGAAAGATGTGACAGTCTGCTTCCATAAAGATTACAGCCTTGGAAATCTTATGGGGCAGTTCTACTCTGTCCTGTAGGGTTTGTATGAGTTGGAATCAACTCAAGGCAAGGGGGTTATTGTGGCTACAGAAGTTCAATTTTACATTTCTATTCTATCCATGTTTTATGTATAAAATATATTTATATGCTTATTATCTATCTATGCATATGTAATAGATAGATATTTACATTTTTAATGTTTCGCAGTCTTTCCACATCACCTTCTTACTGTCATTCTTCTACTTTTACTTATTCTTCTTTGGCATCCATGTCTATCTTCTAGAATTTTCCTCACCCATTAACTTAGCATAAATTTTATGGGAAAATCTGAGATTCTGGGAAATTCACAGGGGAGGGGGAGGAAGGGAAGAATTCATCCAGAAGTTAAGTACAATCACTGTACATTAAAAAGAGAGATGTGATAATATTGGTCAGAAACCAAACTTATAATCTAGATGTGGAAAGCAAACATGAAAATGGAAAACCCATTATTGCTCAAATATCTTACTTTAATAAGGCACATGTTTTAAATGTGTATATCTAGCCTACTGATAAATGATAATAACGACAATAAAAACAACAGCCAGAATTACAGTGGCATAGTACACCAAAATTTAAAACTAGGAGTCTGATATTTAAGTGCCCCAACTATATCACCAACAAAGTAAGTACTTAATACATAAGTATCTGTATCAATCTTACTCAATTGTCATTAAATATCAATGAAAAAGTTAAATTTTATTGAAGTTGTATTTATAACCAGAGCACCTTTAGTCAGTGCTAAAACTATTTAGAGAAAGTCATTAAATTGGGCAGGTAATTTTGGCTATTGGAAACCAGTCTTTTTCTGGTTTGTTTAAATAGGCTTGGTGACGTACACTAATAAAATGATTATAAAGTTCTTGGAACCCTAAAGCACAGTGTCTCTAAATGTCATAGTTTTATATTTTAACAATTATTGACTGCCCAGAATTTGTAGTATAATTAACCACCTCAAAATGCTTAACACTGATATTGCTCACTGTTATTTATTTAGTAAATGTGTATTTTTCTTCTCTTTCCAAAAACCTATACCTACTGAAAGATACACACACAGATTAGCAGACTTTTCCCAAATCTATTAAATGCTTAGAAGAAGTAGCAGCCAGACATGCTTTCTAAAGAAAGCTCAGAAAGAACACATACCAGAATTTTTTTAATTTAGAAGGCCTTCAATTAACATGAAGTTCAAGCAACATCTATTGTAATGCATTATGCTTCAAGATGTAATTTGTTACATTTTTTAATCAGAGTTCTATCTGTACTTCTTGTAAAATAAAACCCTGTACATACTCATTGCTGCGCCTGGATTCTGACTCATAGTAACTCTATAGGACAGAGTAGAACTGACCCATAGAATTTCCAAGGAGCAGCTGGTGGATTCGAACTGCTGACCTTTTGGTTAGCAATCAAACACTTAACCGCTTAGCCATCAGGGCTCCAAAATAAAAAGTTACCTCATATTCTGATTATATAACTAGAAAGAAAACTATACAATGCCTCCATTCATTCCCGGTTGTGTTGTCTAATAATTTTTTTTTTTTCCTAGCGCAATATAAATATTTTCCTTGTCAATGACCATATAGTCAGCATATTTTCCAGGTACACTAACTGCAAGTAACTGTTATGTCCGAAGTCAAAGCTACGGAAAACTTGGAAGACTGGACTATGTTTCTAGAAAATCACCATCTGAACCAAAATCTTTTTGTAATTTATACCCTTTAAATGACAAGACTATCACCTGCACTGATCTTTCCAATAAGGAAAAACTCTCTTTACCGCGTATTTCACTGTCCTCAGTTTACATCAGTCTGGGTGACAGACAACTAAGATGCAATCACAAGTGACGGCTTCTCTATGACATTCACTTTGATCCTAAATACTGTTTCTTTGGAGTGTGATTTTAAACAAAAATAGGAATGCTAGTATCAGGGAATTAAAGATAATATAACGAAGGGAGCAACTTTTAGATGCCAGAAGACATCAAAATTTACAGCTCTCTGGATTAGTGCCATTTTACCAAAACAAAAATAAAACACAACCTCTCTCTTCTCTCTTTATTGATATTTATTTATGCTGATTATGATGATAAATATCTATCCACATATGCATATGTAAGATAGATTTTCCAAAAGGAATGAACAAAAAAGAACTAAAAGATTTATCTGATAAAGTACATATAAAATTAAAATACACTTGTGAAATTCATGTATATCACTAATTAGGAAATTTTAGTTGGTTCAAAAAAGATACAAAATTACAGAGAAAATAATCAAATCTCTAAATTTGATATAACCTCTGTAAAAGGATATTTCATAATGGTTTTATATATTTTTGCCTAGCAACGATCCTAAGAACTAGCTAGTCAGCAATAAGAAAAAGGAGAGGCTCAGCACTAATTAGATCAGAACTAACATGGCTGTATCTGGCAGGTGTCCACCAACATTAAACAGCCTTTGTTAATTAAGCCTATAGAACAGATCAAATAACTGTGCTATTTTGGAGGGTTTTCTTAGCCTATTGATCTTGGCAGATACAAGTCATTATGTCATTATATATCTTCTCAATCAATAGGCATTAAACATACAGTTATTACAGGAAGGTCTCTGGAAATATCTTAATGTTAAAAAGAGTTAGTCAAACAGATATTGGAACAACTGTTCTAATACACTCATGACCCGTTCATCCAGATTTTCTATGTTCTGTCCTTAAATTAAATCAGACCATCAGAAAGCAGAGTTTCTGGATCAAATTAAGTCAACTGCCTCCCTCACAACACTACCTTCACTGAGTTAAGACTTAATGTTATATTATGTCCTCTGGTGATGTACAAAATCCAAATATGATGTCTCTCTCAAAACCAGTTCTACACTGTTCAATAAATTGTTACTGAAGGCATTGCTCTCTGTCGTTGAGTGTTCCGCATACAAGGATTCTCATGTTTTGGTTGAATTCAGTTTCAGGAAATATTTTGTTTCTTAGAAAACTAAATCATCCCGTCGTCAGAAAATAAAAGTTGTAAACAAAATTTTGTTGTTAGAAAACTTCGAGCCAAATCTAATGACCAAATATAACAAACTTCTATGAAAAAAGGTATTCCTTCTATTTCTTTCAGATAGGCTTATTCTATTTCATATTTAAATGTTTTAATGTACTTTTGCACTAGGGTAATCAAATAGCCACCTCAAGTATTTCAGAAGCAAATGACATAATTCTGAAATAAAGATACGAATACAAGGCACAGTATGCTCTTCTCTCCTGCTCCTACGTTTTCACTGAACATCTAGTAGGCACAAAAACTCTAAAACTATCACATCAGCAAATTATTAATTTGAAAAATAATGGTGGTTAAAAGTATCCAGGGTTCCTGGATTTAAATTGTGCTTCCTGTATGACCCTAGGCCAGTTAATGAATCTTTTTTTTTATCCTCTTTGAGCCAAAATTTCATCATTGGCAAATGGGATAATTCCAAATATACCTCACTAGATTGTAAGAATTAATATATGCAAAGTTCACAGCACAGTGCCCAGAATGTTCTAGCTGCTACTGTTATTATGATTATGACATATTACTTATTGGAGCCCCTGGGTGGTCCCTGGGCACTTGGCTGCTAACCAAAAGGCTGGAAGTTTGAGTCCACCCAGAGGTACTTCAAAAAAAGGCCTGGTGATCTACTTCCCAAAAATCAACCATTGAAAACCCCATGGAGCACAGTCATACTCTGACGCGCATGGAGTCATCATGAGTTGGAGTTGACTCAATAGTAACTGGTTTTTATATTACTTATTAAGTTATAGAATATTTCAATTCATTATCTAACCTATACCCCTCAATTCACTCCAAGACATCACAGCTGCAAAACTTGAAAAGCTTAAAGTGGAATTTATATTATAAATATAATAAGAAAAAATATATATATTATAAACATATATATTATATTTACATATATTATAAATATAATAAATAATATTCTTTCTTATAATCTTTTCATGGTTATTGAGCTGCTAAAGTAGGATGATAAAAAAATAATCTCCTAAAAGTTGACGACTTTTAATCAAGAAAAAGCAGAATAAGTTTCACAGATTTCTAACATTTTCCAAGGGGAAGCTTTCATGGTAGGATTAGCCTATAGTATTTTTCTGCCTGTCTTGATAACACAGCAAATAAGTATAGAAGAACTACAAAAGTCAAGTGAGGAAATAAATGGATTTTTTTGCAGAGTTGTCCAGAAATACATTTTATAGTTAGCCTTCACGCAATTTAGTAGGGATAATGACGACTCCGTGAACAAGTCAACAAGAAGCAGATAATAGTATGAAAATAAAATAAGGCTAGGTAGGCTGTCATGTGTTCTGAGATTCCTAGTGTCCAAGGAAAGTAGGTAAACGTAGTCAATCATAGAATTTATAGTCCATGACATGAAAACAAAGCAGTGGTTCAGTCAAACACGGGTTTTTCTAGTTCAGACACCTGAGAAAATGCAGTATATTTCCTTCCCGGGATTAGCAAAGAGTTGATCCTGTACATTATAGATACCATTTCCAATAATAGGGTTCTTATATAGATTTTCAAAATAAGGCAACGGTAGTTGACATCTCTGAGTCTTTGCTTCCTCATTTGTACAATGTCAAAATACATACTTTGTAAAGCTGTTATTGTAATTAAAAGAGACAGTATACATATGTTCTCAAAAAAAAAAATCAAAAACAAAAACACTTGGCACCGATCAATGCAAGTTTAAGGGGAACCAACACAATTAGGAGTCAAGTAAGTAGCTATCAGATGCTCAGGATAAACTGTTGAAGATAGCAACTACTGAATGTTCCCAAATCAAGGCAGGCCTATTACGCTGCATCAAAGACCAAGGAGGTGTGATATCCTCCTATGAAAATAAAACCATTGGTAGGGCCATGTTTTTCTTCATAAAATAGTTTAGCATCTGCACTAAAACCCAATAAAATGTGTGAGCCACGTCCCAAAGTGTAATCTTAGATCTTGACAACTGCCATTCTTCATCCACTGAGGCCATTAAAAAAATTAAAAGGCCATTCAGAGAATATTCATTTTAAAGCAATGTAGCTTCCTAGCGAACAGAAGCCATTTCAATACTGGAAGTCCCTTGACAATAGCTTTTATTTTTAACTTTGTGTTGAACCATCGTATCTTACAAAAACTAATTTTTTTTTTTTTTTAATATTACTGTACCAGAGTAGCTAGTATATTTTCCAAATGGTGCATGGAGCAGGCATCCATCCACCTTGTGCAGTCAAGTCCTCAAGTTATCTGGGTACATATTACAAAGAAAGCATGCTAAACATATCCCTCTTTTATACTGCTTAAAACAGTTACTTAATCTTCCAGGCAACTCTGCCTATTCCTTTTCAGATGTCTTCTCTTAACCCTTCCTTAGTGTATGAGCTACGTACCTTTATTAAGTTCGTACAAAAATTATTCTTAATCCCCTCATTTTCAAGCTCTAAATCTCAACAACTAAAATTTATACTATCTTTGCTCTTCATTTCTTTTCTCTCTTTTTTCCCTTATCATCTCTTAGCACCAACCCCTCCCTCCTGTCATGGCCCCTACCCTGAACCAGACTTACCTCCTGTCTGAGTGATGACCTGTATGTCACTTGAAAGAGGACCATCCCCAATTGAGGTAAAAGCCAGGACTTTGACAGAGTATGTTTTCTGGGGCACTAAGTTGCCAATAGTAGTGATTTGGCTGTCAGCTACATTGTGTTTCATCCAGTTGTTGACGTGCTGGGTGGGGTCCATCGTATAATAGACTCTGTATCCTTGGATCTGGCCATTTGGCTCTTCAGGTTCCTTCCACTGCACCAAAATGGTGGTCGAACTCAACATCCGAGCCTGGACATCCCGGGGGGCACTGGACGGTGCTTGCTCTGAGGTCTGGGTGAGCACAGGCTCACTGGGGGGCCCTCGCCCAATGTTATTGACAGCAACAACTCGGAATTCATAATCTGAGTAGGGGCTTAGTCCAGCAACACTGTAGCGTGTGGTTGCCACTCCATCGATTTCTTTGTAAGGTTCCTCAGAATTTTTAGGTTTATGCTGAATGATGTAGTAAGAGACGGGCTCAGGGTTCCCAGAGTCCCATGTCAGTGTGATGCTTGTAGCTGTGCTCTCGGTCACTACAGGAGTTCCTGGTGGTTTGGGTAAGGCTTGGGGGAGAAAAAAGACAGTGAGTACCCTTCATCTCTCAAATGGTACAAGTATTGATGGACTCTACTATTAGAATGACAGGGCTAAGCATCTACTGAAGATTTAATTAGACAAAATTACAGCAAAGGACAGTTTTCTAAGACATCACGAAAATACAGGGAGACATCCATGGATAACACAAATTCCATTTTACTAGGAGGGCAATATAGTGCTGTATATAAGAACATAACCTCCAGAGTCGCACTGATTCCAAGTCCACCACTTAGTAGGTATGTAATCCTGGATATATTTCTTAACCTGTCTTTGCTTTAGTTTCTTCATGTGAAAAATGGAACTAATGTCTGTATTACAGGAGTTGTATTATACAGCTGGGTAACTGTATCTCACAGGTTGCTCTGAGGATTAATAAACATCCAGTAGCGCTCTTAGAATGTCACCGGATCTCTTTTAAACATTAGTTGCAATTATTAATAGTAATAATAATAGTAGTAGTAATTCTTATTATTGCAAAAACTTGCCCAACTGGCTCTGCTTCAAGAAAAAAAAAAAATGATATAACTAAATATTTTGTCCTTTTCAGAGAATCCATGAAAAGAACAAAATGTGGAATATATTAAAATAGAATTAAATTACTATGAACGAATGAACGGTAACTATATTGACTTCCAACTTGTCAGACATAGGTAACATTAGTAATATTTTCTTATAAATAATCTAACAAAGAATTTTAAAGTAAAACAACAGTAATTTCTAATCAACATTTTTTTTCCTTAATATTCAAAAACTGCCAAAGGAACTAAATTAAGACATATTCAAAACCACCTTTTTAAAGCATTTTTATCAACATAATATGTATTCTACATTCTACATCAGCAATATCTGAGATTATAGCATATGTCAAACATTTGCAATTCAATCCGTCTTTTCTCAAAATGCTACTCATTAAGAATACAAACCATTTACATAGGTGGCCTCGCACGTAAGTGTTTCCTTACCCTGGACAGTGCATCTGAAAGGCAGTGGTATTAAAGTAGAAAGGGAAATTCTACCGGTTGACTTTATAAAAGAAACCTGGGAGGTAATACTCTTATAAGCCCATTTATACCCCATTTCCTTATCAATATAAAGGCAAAAAGTACGACCCTTCCTAGTCTGCCAACTTTTCGAAAGCAGCAAACTCACACCCTTCAAGCTGATCTTCTGGTTCTGATTTACTTTATTTTCTCATCTTCAAGATTCACTTTTCCATTTTATTTATTTTGGGAAGTGGAGTTAGGAGGGAGGCAGGAAGAGTCAGGAAAACAAAGAGAAGTTAAACGAGATATTCATTTAATGTGACTCCTGCTTCTGGAATCTTTAAACTCTTCAGTAAACTTTCAAATATTGAAAGCTGGAATGGTTAGTTACGAAAAAGTGATTCAATATTTGCGTATTTCTCGAAAAACTATAGAATGATAATATTTAGCCAAGGGAGTTACTGAAAATAATAATTAGAAGGACATTTGCTCAAATATTCTAACCTGCCAATTTTTAAGTGGGTGATCCAGAGTTCCCCTGGATGTCTTTCTGAATTTTTCAGGCAAATGAAAGTATTGCTAATTAAAGGTGTGTTTACAGCTATTTAGCTGACATTACTGGTTTCGCTAAGTCACATATATTGTACAGTACAGGCTGGGGATGTAATGTATAGATAAGAACAAGTCTAAAATTTTAATGACATGCAATATAACATCATTGTTTTAAATAACTATAACTTTGAGGATGGTATACCTTTGTTCTTATGTCAAATTATTAGTGTTATATGGCATATGTTTATATATTTAATTAAGGATATGACAACTAAAATTATTTTTATGAAAAATTTATAGATTAGTGTGTGTTGCATTTTCTAAGATTGTACTTCCTAGAAAGGGAAGACAATTTGTATTCATTTTGCAGTAATTCCAGACATCTGCAGAAACCTCAAGTCACCCTCAGTCTGACCCAATTTACCAAAATTTTCTAGAATTCTACAAACACTGGTTAAAAACAACTAGTATGAACTCACATTTTTTCTTTGATTCAAAAATACTCATGGACCATAGTACTTCAGTTATATTTAGCACGTTTATTTTAAGAGAAGAATATTTCTTCAGCACTCCATTTGTACCAGGTGAAAAGTAAAGCTAAAACAAAATATAATGCTACTTACTTGCATTTTCATTTTTCATGGCAGGGCCCATCAAAATTTTAAAGCATCTATTATCAGACCCAGAAGAAAGACCTGGCAATCTACTTCCACAAAATTAGCCATTGAAAACCCCGTGGGGCACAGTTCTACTCTGACACACATGGAGTCACTATGAGTTGGAAATGAGTTGATGGCAACTGGTAACTGGTATTACTAGACCATGTTGATTTAAACTCTTTCTTTTCACTCTCTCTCTCTTGCATTTAAGGAGTTTTAAGCGTATCATAACATACACGTGAAGTTTTCTAGCAAGTGACTCTGATCAAGGTTCTGGACTAATATGAGGCCTGCACACATTGGTTTTAACATAATGGTTGACCATGACTAGCATTCTTCATCTTTCTGACTGGTGCCTGGGCCCAGACTGTTGTTAAATATTTTGATGAGTATCCCTACTTAGGCTGCCAATACTGTTAAGAGCAAATCTGCCTACCTAGATACATGCATCTTCTATGTACCACAGCTATGATTAGAACGCACACATCTGAAACACTGAGAAATCAACAGAATCCTTTCAGAATTCTGAGGAGAGACTTTTGGAGGCATGACTCAGGTGGCTTGAATATATCCAGACCCACAGAGCAAGAGTCACAGAGCGTACCTTTGACAGTGATCTGTGCTATTGCTTCGATGACACCCAGTGTTGACATAGCAACACAAGTGTAATTTGCTGACTGTCTGACATCATTCAGTTCTAGGACATTCCTTCCTATTGGCATATCATCTTCAGGTGTCAGATCTTCCGCCCCCAACATCCACTTCACATAAGGCATCGGTGACCCCACAGCCACACAGGTGATATTAACACTTCCACCTGGCATGATTTCATGATTAGTGGGTGGGATAGAGAATCTTGGTGGGACGCGGCGAACTGGAACAAAACACAAGGGAAGATAATAACATATACACAGCAAGAAAAGGTCGCTTGGTAAACACGTGACATGCACTGTACAGACACAATTAAACAATTTAAACATATTGTGGATTGTCGAGAAACAAAACATAAAGAAAAACTGTGGATAATACAGACCATACAAGTATGGTGTGTGTATACACAGAAAGTTTTATTTTGTTTGGTCATCGATATCATAGACACATTCATACAAAAGTTTATTTAGACCTACAAGGACCCCACAAAGAAAATAAAAATAAACTATCTACAAACTAACAGTACACAAACATCATGCAGAAGATAAACACACACACATATACATGCATGCATCTGAAAAAGATTCCATGTATGCATGTATATGCAGAAAAGGGGACTAGAAGGTCACCAGTCAAGTCTGAGTTGGAGTATCAAAACCAACTTCAGGGCTGGGCACTTCCATTCGATGTGACTGTACATGTGGGAGCACACTGTCACATCCCAGCCCTGGAAAACATCACCTAGAGTACACTGAAGTGCAGTTTTATTTGCTTTCAGACTCAGAGTAGATGCAGCCTCAAGACCTCACACTAACACTGGAACACACACAGAAATATATACATACTT